AAGATTCATTTGTTGCATGTTTTGCATCTATATAAATTGATGGAGTAGAGTACAATGCATTCACTCGACCGTCCTGTCAAAAGAAAATAAAAGCAAGTGAGTCTATGATTTTGCAAATGTTTAAACTGGAATAGAACAAATAGAGCTATTTATGTTCTCCATAAGGATTCCCTAATGAAGTCTTTGAGCTAGCTGATAAATGTGCTGGACAACACCAAAACAGGCAAAGAATCCTGTTATTATATTTTCTTGAAATAGAACTTAGGAGAAGACATATTGAAGCAACCACTCATACAGTTGAACAAACATGTTCAAGATTTTTGTCAAGGATTTCACCAAGTTTTCTGCAGAAACTGAAGTATTTACCTTGTTGACGTAGTGAATTAATTTATCCATTTCCTTGAACCAAGATTCAGCATATTGGTATTGGAAGTCATCTCCCATGGTCCACATGATGTGATTCGTACGTGTCACGTTTGCCTGCACATCACAACATCCAGCTTTTCATTGATTGCATTTACATGTAGATCTATTTCTAGCTACAGTTCTACGAAAATTGGTGATTATGAATAACTGATAAGAACTATAATCTGGGTGTACTTGTGTAATTGCAGCATTGATGAAGTCATTAACCCGTATATCGACATTTAAGTCAAAGATAAGAGGATCATCCTGCAATTCATATACTAAATATATCAGAAATTTGTTCTCCTTTGATATACTAAAATAAACCATAGAGAGACTTATTTTTCATTTCTGCCAGTACCTGGACTGGAACAAAATCATAATCAGCATCATCCACTTCGAAATGGAAACCATGTGGTGGACTATAATGTACAGGAAATGCATTGGTAAATATCTGCAAAGGAACCACAAACGGTGTTAACCACAAGTGAGCAATGATATAAAATAAATGCACAAAGCTTAAGAATGCTTCATCAACCTGGGAGGAAGAACCAAATGTTCTCGAACCACGCCATATAACCTCAAGAGCTTTATCCTCCTTACGTTTTGCTCTGTCTTGATAATCAATGCGCGCAAAGTGAACAGAATCAAATCCTACCTGTGAAAGTTATCCGGGAGAAGTGAAAAAGTATCAATATTTCGAGTCAGATCAGGATGATAAACTTCAAAATAATTTATGTCAAGAAAAATTTAAGTTATATACACCGGCAATATAAAGTCTTATTACATGATTCGTTGTGTAATTTAACATAACAATTTAGTCATCATATTTATCTGTGCATAGAACTTAACTTCTAAACCACAACTTATGAACGCTCAGCATACATACCTCTGCGCCAAGAAGATAAGCTTGCACGGCAGAGTGCCCAAATGGATCGATCTGCCATCCTGCACGAGGAGTGATATTGAATTCATTCTTTATCAGCTGATGGCCTAGTGTTGTCTGATCAATCATATCTATGTAATGGCTTGTCGCTTCATCGTGCATACACCAACCACCGTTTCTGTTCCAGAATTCTCTTTTTCATCAAAAATCACCCGAAAAAATAAATAAAAGTCCTTTGCAAGAAAGCTAACTAACATACACGAATTCCAGCTGGCCAGAAGCTACAAGATTTCTCACTTCTGCTTGAATTTCCGGGCTTTGCCTTATCCACCACCGATGGAAAAATGCCTACAGAAGGATCAACAGAAACATGCCTAATAAATTGTGCATCTTTTGTTCCTTACAACAACTTCGCCTCAATACCAAACAAGTTGTATGCACACAAAATCAAGGAGAAAAACAGCTTTACCATTTCAGCAAATACAAATTTCCTATTCCGATCACGACGTAATGACATAACAACAGAGTCCAGTACATTTTCAACACAGGCACCCTGCAATGCATCAATCATTTTTTTATTAGTAACAGCTAACACATAAACTGACATAATTTCCAATTTCAACATAAGATGTAAATATGACCTGAATGCTATTGTTTGATCCAACATAGTACTGATCAATGGTCTTTAACCAGCCAACATCATCGTGTGAATGAGGAACCAAATGAACATTCAACTTGCTTTCAACAATGTTACCCCCAGTATTGTACTTTAGGTACCCATTAACACCAATTGCCCCATAAGCACAAACAGTACTATAGAAAATGAACAGAAAAACTAAAGCTGGATTAACAAAAGTTCTCATTTTGAAACCCAAATATGGTTACTAGAAACTGTGATAAACCAGTTTACTTTATAAATATATATATATGGATTGAATTGCTAAAATGCATTTTTCTTCTAATTTAAATTTACATTAATGCTAAAACATTTTATTCTACAATATTTAATTTTTTTCTCAAATAGAGTACTAGATTGTGACTATTTTATTAGTTTGACTTCTTATTTATGTAAGTTATACTCTCTTTTATTAAGCAAAAAGAAGTCAAACTAATTAAATAGTCTGACAATCTAGTATTGGAAAAAAAAGTAAATATTATTTTAGTATTAATGTAAATTTAAATTAGAAGAAAAATGCATTTAAGCAATTCAATCTATATATATATATATATATAAGTATAAAGTAAATTGGTTTATCACAATTTCTAAAAAGGAAAGTAGATTACAAGCTGGGAAGTGAATTCTTACTAGCAAAATGAAATTTTTGATAGTCAAAATTAGTTGAGCTACTGAAATTTTCTTTAATAACGACTTACAAATAGTGATATAGTTATTTTAAATCAATATAACTCTTAATCAATAATAGGAACCATGACAAACATCAATACTTATAATTTTAAAAGTCCCCACAAATCTTCATCGATTTCATAACAAGAATGACTCGGAAAATCTGAAAGAAAAATCAACATGAAGTAGTGTGGTAAAATCTGACAAAACTGCATTGGTTTTTCCCATGTACCAGCCTTCCTGTCACATTAGGAGAAACGGATATTGGATTTCACGTGCAATAAGTATGGATGTTTTATTAATTATTCCTGCCTATTTTTTTTTGTCTAATTCCCAAATAATAAAAATAAAAAGAGGAAAAATGTTGTTGGTGGCGTAAATAAATAGGTACGAAAGAAGTTAATCACTAGGGACAAAACACGTAAAGTAAATTAAAAGTAAAAAAGCAATTTGTCAAACAAGAATCTTTTTTTTAAAAAAAAGAAAAGAAAAATGGTATACTACCCTTTGTTCGCCATTCTCGTAATAAATACAATTTTTAGATTATTTATATTGTTAGATCCATCATTAGGGGTGTTCACGGGTTGGTTTGGATCGATTATTGGTCAAAATCAAAACCAAACCAACTTAATCGGTTTTAAAATTATTAAAACCAAACCAAATCAAATATAATATACATTTATCGGTTTGGTGATTATCGGTTTCGGTTTGGTTTGGTTCGGTTATTCGGTTATTAACCATACACAAAAATAAAAGAAACAATTCATTTAAAATGTGAAAAAAGTGACAACAATCCATTCAAAACGAAAAATAGTTTGAATGACTTAAATTACTGAACTTTCGATCACTAAATTTACTATCAATAAAGCTTTAAAATTCACTATATTGGCCTAGAAGGAAGAGACAATAACATTTTCAATCCCACAAAGAATTGTCATTGACACTCATAAACATGAAATCAATAAGATAAATGTTTCATCTTGGGCATTTTTGCTTTCAATAAGTAAATTATAAAGAATTTTTAATGAAAATATGTATAAGATCTTTAAAATTGTTTATAAAAACAATATATTAAGTATGTATATTAATAAAATATGTGTATAATTCATCGGTTCAGTTCGATTATTTCTTTGATTTTTTTAAAATAAAACCATAACCAAACCAAATACTATCGGTTTTCAAAAATCTAAAACCAAACCAAACCAAACCCAAATAAAATCGATTTTATTTTATCGATTTGGTTTGGTTTTTTGGTTTGGATCGGTTTTTATCCAAACCGTGAACACCCCTAATTACTAACAATAAAGAGAATTTTTGGTGTGGTATAATAGTTGTTATTTCTCTTTTCCATTTTCTTGTTACTATATTTAATTGGAGTTATAATTACAGTTCATGAATAATAGATTTGCTATTTCATAACCAACAAAGTCGAACTACAAAACACCATCAATTTTCTTAATAGGGAAGAACCCATTCACCAACAATGAACCAGGAGGCGACATGGTCCTTTAGTGTAACAAGTCATAGTGACACATACCTCTACTTTATCATTTCAAAGTCGTGGGCTCCACATACTTAATTATAGCTATTTGAGGTATATAAAGTTGAAATTGAGCATATTGTATATACATACAAGGGTAATCGAAAGTCTTTTAAGGGATTAGATTATTTCGTCCATTACCTTATGAATTGAGTTTTGAATATAGTCCTAATCGAGCTAGTCCAATAACACCAAAAGGTTCAACGTCACTATATATTATTAAGCACATATGGTTCCAATCATTGTACTGCAATTATTGATGACAAGATAAAGACGTGAGACAACACGTCCAAATTTGATATAAATTCTCTCTCCTTTTTATACATGTCGAACTACAAAACAACCACCAAGTGATGAACTTCTCCCATTATTCATTATTTTGAATAACGCAATATGGTCATCATTCTCCTGTGATGTTTGTTAGTAATTCGAAATATTCAATGTCCATTGGCCCGCTTATGAGAACAGGTCCCCCATAACAACCAATTGATATTAACATTTAGTGCAAAGACTTAAAAGTCTTTAAGAATGGACCTTATTCCATGGTTTGTCCTTTGGTAGTTGTTCTACAATAAATGCCTTTTAATACACAAGGACGTCTCAAATGCTAGGACATCAAATTTAATTGGACCTCTCCAACACTATTCCTAGCCCCCCATTAAAAAGACAACTCTTGGTATAAAAGATCACGAGTATATCAATAAAGAAAGGCAATGAGAAGTAATCCGAATCTTCATTTTCAGAGATAACAAAGGATGTTAACAAGAGGCTAAACAAAATGTGTTGACACCTTGAAACATTAATTGTCACTTCATAGATGTTTGGCGACGCATAATTTTTCACAAAAGACAAGGCTGTGTAGTTGAAGGTAAACACCATCTTGTTTGCTAGGATCTGTCCTTAACATGATTTTTTGAGAGAGAAATACAAATCATCTGGAAGCCACAAATCAATCTAACTGAGAGTTCCATAATCTTATAACAGTATATTTTAAAGAACGATTCAATTAGTCCCTCAAGAGTTAATGAGATACATCCCTTTCCCACAGACATAATAAGACCCATTCCAATGAGCAATTTCAGCAGCAGCATACTTGATTACCATCTGAACTTCTTTGCCTACAAAGATTAACAGTAATGTTCATACTAGCGGGAGCATAGTAGACAAGATGCAGCTTTCTTCAAAAACAAAGCATTAAGAAGTTACATACCTGAGCTGCAAATAGTTGTACGCATCTTTACTTCTTTTCCTCTTTCTGTTCCTTATCATTGTCCTCATCCTTCTTCTGCTAGGACAAATTAGTTCATTTTTCAAATCTATTTGAAAAAACAACAGAAAACATGCTATTTTGGTAAAAAGATGACCCCTAGCATCCTTGGCATTCCACCATCCACTATGAAAGATTATATAACCATTAATAAAAAGACAACAGGAAACTAAAGGTAAGGAAAGAAAGCAGAAGCATCAAGAATAACATGATTGCACCTACAGAAGAATTCTCGTCTTTTTGATATGTTTGTCACCCATACTGTTTTTTCCGTTTACTTGGAAATATTAAATAACCCCCCTAGGATCTGTTAAGATGGAGGTCTTCTAGAATGCAAAAATCTATTTTAATAGGCGTGGTCAGCTTTGTATCTCGTCTGAAGAGCACCAATTCTTAAGGGGTTGTTTGGTAGGAGGATGCATTAGAAAAAACAATGCATGTTAGTTACGTTAGCTTTGTGTACTCCTAATACTTTCTTTGGTACACTTTCTCAACCTATCTCTATCTGGTATTATGATGTGTATAACTAATACACGGGAAACCTGGTATTAGCAATGCAAGTAGTTTTGATGAATGCATTAGTATGGTTAAAGACACTTCCTCCACATCCTTTCCACCATTTTTATGGAGGGCATTTTTGTAAACAATTTTTTTTTTTGGAAATTATGTCATGCATGTTATTTTTCACACACTGAACCAAACACTAAATAAGGAATAATCTCAGCATAACTAATACCAACATTATTAATGTCAACATTACTAACGGTCTAACACCATATTCAGCTCAAAGTGCAAATACAGACGCATAAACCAGAAACAACAATTAAACAGGAAACTAAACCCGAACTTTCCCGAACATGCTCTTTGATTAATTAATAAACTAATTAACTCACCTCAGACTGGCCTTGCATGGAAGCAAGCAAATCTTTAACGGAAGGATCGTTTGGATCAACACCTGGAAGCTGTCAATCAAATGCAAAATTAAGTCAAAAGTCGCAGAAGAAATACACTCCAATCCTTGGGAAAAACACATACTTTCTCTGGTGAAATAACAGAGTTTTGTGTACAGAAGACTTACTGAGGCAAGGATTGATGACACAAATGACTGATCTGCCAACAGCTTACTCATATCTGTCTCATTTGACTGATCATTTGTACTGTCTCGCACAGACAGTTGAAGAGCTGCAAAGCACCAGAAGGTTCGAGACAAATCAGAAGTGTACAATAATGAGCGAACCTTGTAAGGTAACAACTACAAAGGATTCTGTGCAAGTGTCAACCTTTTCAAGGAACTGAGGAATTTGATAGGGTAAGCCAATGCTATGTACAGCCAAGTAATAGAGTCTAATACAACCTCCATTGGCAATTAAAGGACAATTTCAGGACAAATAAAGCATGAATACTAGGCATTTCTACAGAAAATGAACCTTAACTACTACGTAAGCCCTCTTATTTGATCATATTATCATAGAGAAACAAGAAAAGGAGATCAGATGGGTGATCGTTTTTTTCTTTTGATCCAGAGGAGTGGGGGCTCCACTCCCTCTCTTCCTTCAAACTTCAACTTTTCAAAATATAATACTCCTGTTGTGGCACACTTTCCTTCTAAATTTGCCCAAAAAGAACACGTTTCTATATTTAGAAACAACTTAACTTTAAACCTCTCATTTTATGCTTAATGAGATGAATTATAGCCACATGAATACTCATGACTTGTTTTAGGCACAAGTTTTAAAAGTCTTCCATTCTTTCTTAAACTAAGTGCTCGTCACCCACGCGGCCATGCCACATATATTGAGGCGGAGGGAATAGTTGTTTTCGATCAGGAAATCCTTAGAAGTGCATAGAATAATTCAAGATTAGATATGCACATTCTAGGTTAGGTATGTTGTGAGAAATGCAAGAAAACAAGGAATAAATATTGTGAATGAACTAAACTAGGTTAGGTATGTTGCTAACAGTTAAAACTATGTATCTATGAGATTGTGACAGGATACCAGCATATCAACCATTTAAGACTGCAGATATTGTAACGTACCAAGTGCCAAGTCTTGATCTTCAGAAGCTGCTTCTGACATGTCAGTGTCTCGTGTAGCAACATTGGAGGACGAGTCGTCCATCGACATTGCAAGGGCTTGCTGTAACAAGGCATTCTCATCATCCTGTAAGAGATCCAATTATAATTAAGGTGCTATTTCATGTTGACTTCTAAAAGGCCAGCATCAAATACCCTTCAAGCTAACACCCAGTTTTATTAAAGAAAATTTCAGTGTAAACAAACTACAGGAAACAATATCCTTTTGCATAAGTGTGAACAAGCTAAAGTGCAATGCCAGAATAAATCTCACTGAGGTATTTAAGAAGGTCCAAGAAAATAGAGGATTCATGCAATTCCAGAAAACCAACGTGTAACTATACATGGTTCGGCAAACCAGTAGAGTCTTGCACACCCCACACTCCCCCAAAAAAGGAGAAAAAATGCCATATACCAAAACAATCTCAAACTTAGACAGTTGATAAGAAATACTCCCTCCGTCCCATTTTATGTGGCACCATTTCCTTTTTGGTCAGTCCCAAAAAGAATGTCACATTTCCTTATATGGTAAGAATTTAAAGGTACAATTCCTCTTTTACCCTTGTTGGTCCCACTTAATTTTAAAATAATACTCCAATACATTTAGGAGGAGAGAGAAAAGTGAGTCTACTTTTTAAAGGGCAATTTGGTAAACATTTCAAAGTCTTCATTTATTTCTTAAAAAACTCCGTGCCCGGTCAAATGTTGCCACATAAAGTGGGACGGAGGGAGTAACACATTTAATTACATCCGAAAGAACAAAAAAGTTCTTTTTTCCAACTAATATTCAGAGGTATCAGATATGAAGATGATGAATAAGATACGAACCATTAGGTCGGTAGCTTTGCTTTCGGGCTCAGAAGTTCCTGCATTGACATTTTCAGCCATAGCAACATCCTGGGAAGTAGACTGATTTTCTCCCTTCTCTTGGTTACCAGCTTCTTCTGCAGCCTTTTTTGCAGCTGCTTCCTGCCTCGCCCTTTCTTCCTCCATTGAAACTCGGAGTGCGAGAGCAAGTTCCGGATCCAAATTAGGATCTACACCAAAATCATATCCAGACACTCCACCAGCAGCGGCCGCTGCAGCAGCAGCAGCAAATCCACTGCCACCTTCACCATCACCAGTGAAAATAGGAGTACTGCCAATGACAGATGAGGGATAAAACTTATTAAGGAATTGCTTTTCACAAGTACAGACAGAAAAATCTTATTTAGTTATGATAACAAAATGGTTAGATAAGAAGATGGTTATATCAGGGGTCACCTTATGAGAACATCAGAGAGAGCATTAGGACCAGGAGGAATATGAATGATGTGACTACTGTCATTGGTATTAAGCGCAGCAACTAGTGCCTCTAGCTTCTCAGCTTTCCCTTCATCATCTTCACCAAAATTAACCACATCAAGAGCTACACTATTCTTCTTCAACTTTCTCCCAATCATCTCCAAGACCTTCTTGTCATATTTAACAGGGCTGAAACAAGTGAAATGTCAATAGAATGATCAAAAGTTGAAAGCAGCAAAGACAATACAGAGAAAAGCATCTGAATATCACCTGCCAGCAAAAACAATGATCCTTTGTTGTTGCTTCTTGTTTTGTCGGTGCTTCAATGCCAACTGGGCAACCTGGATTCCAGCAGCCAAATTCATCTCACCGCCTATCTCCAATCCTGAATGAGGGAAGACAAGGCCCACTCAGCAACTAAAGAGTTAATACAAGAGATCATCGCACACCCCAAGACACTAAGAGATACTACTATCATGCAGTCGTATAGAACTCAAGCACCACATGGACTTCAGAACCATCTTTTTGATGAAAAAAATATATTCATTGATGGCATCAAGAAGATACGAAGAGTACAAAAGTGATTCAGATAGCTCCATAATATGGGGATTAAGCTAGGACTGGAAGCTCCCAAAATCTATAAAAGATCAGTGTTATTTACAAGGGACAGTTTGCTCCAGCTAAATAGACGCATAGGCCCCTAGCTTTCAAAGAGTGGTTTAGAGTAGACCATCAAAACATAGAACAATATCGTTCCGTGAATACACACCAAAAGTACTGATGCGAGTTGGGACCATTCTCCAGATTTTCTTGATGGTTTTATCAAGAAAATCAAAGCAATAATACATGAGTGTAATTATACGTATCTTTTTGTGCAAACATTTGGAGAACACTTCACAGATGATGTAATTATGCAGTTCACTTCCTACCTAGCCCTCCATCTTGACTCCTATTTTGCTACTCTATACACTTAACAAATAATTGGCATATCATTATCCCTCACCCCTTTTTTGTCTTTCCAGCCATCTTTTCTCCTCAGGCTCTATGCATCTTGAATTTCTTTGAAATTACAAAGTGGCTTCAATTCTACATCTAAATATTCCAGAATTTAAGCTTAAGCATAAGAGCACCTTTTTGAATTTCTTTTTTTTTTTTTGAACTGGTAACTTTGCATTCCTCGGCATGCTGGTCACCTCCAAAAATTTACACTTAAGAGGAACCAATTACAGTAATCTTATGAAGTCAACTAATTGAACTTCCTCAATACATTGCTCTAGACCGGAGAGCATGGAGGTCGAGGATTAGGGTAGAAGGCCAGTTGAACATTTTCTCCCTATTCTATGGGAGCGCTTGGCTCTAGTTTAGAGCACTTTATCTTCTCCCCCTTATCAATCACTACTAGTGTGCTATTTTTATCATATACCTCAATTTTATTATTGTTGTTGTTCCTTTTACTTTATTATCAATACTATTTTGATGTCAATACTTTTCTCTTCTTCATTATTTTCATCATAGCCTTTTGCTCTTGACCTGTTTTGAAAATATTTTTCTTGAGTAGAGGTTCTAATCGGAAACAGTCTCTCTACCTCTCCCAAGGAAGGGGTAAGGTATGTGTACCCCCTTAAAACCCCACTTATGGGATCGCATTGGGTATGTTGTTGTTGGTGTACCTATCATCCTCCTTACATACAATATTGTCTTTCTGAAAAGGCATAGAACAAGTGATTAGGCACGATAAGAAGATGACACTAAGTCACTAACAAAACCAGTGTAACAACCCATGGAGTAAGGCAAGAAGTAGCTAAACATGCAATCACAGGTATTCTAGCACCTCTAATGATAGATTATCATAATCTGTCTAGTCAGACCTCTTCTATATATTATGTGTTACACCCAAAACAAAGTCCGTGGAAACAATAAACGCCAACAAGAAAACTGAGCCATGTAAGACACACTTTTAAGAACAAAACTTATCTCCACATGTCTGCTCTCTTCCAGGTACCTTAATAAACCTAGCGCCCCAACATATTCCATGTCAAGGTAACAAAAGCTCAGAACTAGATAAGTCGTAATAAGTGCCTCTACAAAAAAGAGTAAAAAAACGGAACAGAGCTTACCGTGCATACAAGCTAAGATTTTTCCAAGATCGCTAGTCGGAGTGACTAACACTCGAACCCCTTTACCAGCCATCGTCAAAATTCCAACTGTATTCTCGGGATTAGACTGGATCAAAAAAAGAAACGGTAAAACCTAGCTCAATTAGTTTTCACTGAAAGTACGAGACCATCCAGATATATCACAAACCCTAGAAAGAATATAACTTTAGAAAAATAATCGAAACCTGGGTTTTGGCACCACAGATTAGATTAACAGCGTCTGCTAGAGCTTGGAACCTATTGGGCGAGTAATCACCGTTTCGCATCCACTCCGAATTGTCGATGCAGATCATTGTCGCCTGATAAAAAAAAGTTAACAAACATTAACCCTAGTTTGCTATAACATTGTAAAGATAGAACTGAAATTGGAATCAATAAACATTATGCAGACCTCGAGCACCATGATTAACGATTGAAGAAAAATCCAATGATTGGAAGATTGAACTGAGAAATCGTTTCGTCTCTCTCTCTCTCTGAAAATTGGAAGGAATTTGAGTTTACTTGCGGAGGGAGTTGCTGCTTAAAGGAGGAAAAATCACAATCCGAAGAGGATAGCGGTGTTGCGGGTCGGGTTTATTTCCTATGGAACACTAAAATATATAGGTCCAATTAAAAGAGCGGCCCTATTTCATACCGTTTTCCGACTTGTAAGTAAATGTATCTGAGGCCCAATTGAGTTAATTTATGTTTATTTATTAGGAAAAACTACAGAATATGGCAAACATACCTATATATTCAAGAAATATAGCTACATTTTATTTTTTTCATAATATATGGATATAACTACACAATAAATAGCAAAGTTAATTATACACAAATAAATATTTTTTATATACATTTAATATAAATAAATACAAAATAGGAAAGTTATTATTAAATGCCTAATTAATTATTGCAGCACGTTTTACGTGATCTTTTCCCAGTGTTTACCATCATCAACTTTTTCTCTTTCATGCCTAATTAATTTGGCTTAAAGTATTTTAATTAATGAATAAGTGAATTTCTTTCTGGGCAATTAAGAATCGTTGATAGGCTTCATTTTTGTATGTATATTCTTTGTATCTTATTTAATTATATTTATGTATATTAGTATTTAACTATATTTTTGTATGCATATTTGTGGTATGTTCTTTAACTGTATTTATGTATATTAGTATTTAACTATATTTTTGTATGCATATTCGTTGTATCTTATTTACCTATATTTATGTATATTAGTATGTAACTATATTTTTGTATGCATATTCGTTGTATCTTATTTAACTATATTTATGTATATTAGTATTGCTAAATAGTAATTGCTCACACGGTTTCGTCTTCTTTAGCCATTTTTATCAAGGAATATTGGTAACATAACTTTGTTCGGGATGAATTTATAATAGGATTTATTGTGGCTCCTAAAATATCACATTGGTTATAACATGTTCATGTTTAAAGTTAAATCCAATCAAAAATAGTTGTTTGCAAATAAAATCACTTTTATTCAATAATTGTATATTTACTCAAAAGGTATATCCTAAATAAGTGGGTATGTATTCCAATGTATTTTTAGTTAAATGTATTTTAGTTTTTACCTTCATTGATTTTTTAGTTAACATTTTTTCTAAGTTTTATTCAGTCATTATTATGACATATCAATAGCACATCTTTTGAGACAACAAGAGAATGGAGTATTTAAATTGATAGGAATAATATCGGGTATGCCTTTAAATAAGTAATTATTAGTTCTAATGTTAATAATGGAAAGTTGTTCATTGTATGGACATAAATAAGGACAGTGGATTATATTTAGAGTCAATTCCTTATTTAGTTTATTGTACTTAAAGATGTATTAGTGTATAAATAGAAGAATAAAAAATGTATACAAAAATACAGCGAAAAAAAGATATAAAATGTAGTCATTTATTGTAAATAACATACTTATAGCTATTGAACTTCAATAACCCTATAAATATAGTCATTTTTGTAAGTTGCTCTATTTATTATTAGAATTAGGGCGGATAAAATCGTATTGAAAATTGAATCAAATTGTAAATTAAGAAAAAATAGTGACTAGATAGTTTGATTTGGTTTGGTATTGGAAAAAAAAATTTGATTTTATTTGGGTTGGTTTAATTTTAACTAAAAAAGGTCAATTTGAGATCAAATCAATCTGATACTATATATATAATTTTAAATTTTATTTTATATTACTTTGATATAATTTATAAATATTCCTTATACCTTTTCATAGTTTTTATCTTTTAAGATATAATTTCAAGTTTGAGACTTAAAAATTTGAATGATACAATAAAAGTTATAGTTCATAGATATTAGTATTTTAATAAAGCTCAAATTTATATTACCCTTATAGCCAAAACAACAAAACATATGGGACTAACACTGCAAGATTTAGTTGTACAAAATGTTATCTGAATTGTACTCTTATTTAGATAAACACACGTGTACTCAGTACTGCACTGTTTTATTTTGACAAATCACGTGTATTTTTTTCCAACACCCACAATATTATTATACTATGTCCAATTCTCCACTCCAATTTTCTCTCATCCATCAGTGGTATAGTTCCAGTTTTTCAGTTTCTCGGTGCTTCTATTTTTTTTCCAATTCTCTGCTCCAATTTACTGCACTAAAATGCACCAAACGATTTTGCTCTACTTTGTCTCCAGAGGATGTACACAAAGGTAAAATCCTTTCACTTTTTGCTCGCTATGGTGTTTGCTCTGATTAGTTCTTCCGAGTTCCTTCCTGCCGGTCTCTTCGACTCTTTGTGATTCAGACATTAAAAGTAATCACAATTTCGTATGTGTACCTTAGTTTCCTACTCTTTTGATATAGTTTCTAGCTAAGATTTCTACATGCACCTTACTAACTACTTGATTTGCACATGCATTATGTTTCTTTGATGAATTTACTTTTTATATTCATTAATTAGTGCAAAAGTTAGATCGTCTTACAAAAATATGTATATCAAGTAGTGTGCATCTAAGGTGTTTGATAATATGCCTCAGTTAACTTATTTAAAGTTTCCTGTTGTCATTTTTCTTTTTGGGTGCAACATGACTATTTGTATCAGGACTAAAGGCATATATGGGAGCATGTCAATTTATCTTATCTTGGTGGTTTTGGTTCTACCGTTCAAGATGTGGGCCACTATGTTGTCAATTATAGTCTTCCACAAACCGTGGAAGGTATTAGTATTTATTATTTTTTTACGGATACTCTTTTTGGCTTTCTTTTGATCAACTATGTAATTTTGAGTATTACATATTCATTAGTATTCATTTTTCATGTTTTGGCATTTGGTTTGTTGTTCCACTATTTCTTTGAATAGACAAGTAGCAAGACTATCAGAGGTGCGCGAAAATTGACCCAAAACATTACAGTTTGATGGAAAATTAGAGCAGAGTGATTCGATTCCGAGCTGGTGCATCAATTTGGTGATGAAATTTCACATTTGACTACCAAAATTGGAGGTAATTTTTCATTCTAATTTTAAATTTGTAAGGTTTTCCTTCCAATTTTTATCTCTAGATTTAATTTGCACTTGCAGAACAAAATGCATACTTTTTTTTATGAGATAATGGGGCAAATACATGCTTTTAAGTTATGAACATAAAAAAATTCAAGTATTTGCACCAGTGATGTAGAGATGGAAGCAACATGAGTTGTATCTGAATCTTCAGAAAATATTGAAGAAATCCATTTCCAGCATTATTGGTAGAAAGGAGTAGCAACCTATGAAGAAGACAAATGGGTTAAACATATAAATATTATCAATCCCACTTTCCATCTAGAGAAGCTAAAGGTTTGTCATTGATTTTCTTCTATTCTTCCTCCTTACTCTTTTTCATTGGTCAGCCAGAAATTATTATGTTCGCAATTTTTAGTCCAGGATGAATAAAGTGTTGACTCTTGCTTCCTTGGCTACTACTACCTCGAAGTCTTTCTATCTCCTTTGATTTTCCTTCCTTATTGTTCAATCTAAACTTTTATCTATTATGGGTATGATTATTTTGAGTAAATTCTGTTGTGATTACAGAAGTTTGAGCTTTACTGACTAATTAAGCATTATAATAGAGAATTAACATAATATGCAAAAAACATATTAATATCATATGACCACCACCATTTTGGTGTTCTCGACTACATCCAAAAGTATTCATGATATCTAAGGGGCCTTGTAGTATGTAGTTTGGTCTTCATATTAACATTCCTCCACCTCCAATTTTGTTGTAAATTTCACAGCTTAGGTATAATTGTTATATACATGAATCTTCTGCATCATCTTTGAAATACTATACATGTGGCTCCAACAAAAATAGCATACGTGTGACTACATATAACATGTGTGGCACAAAATCGACAAATATACTTAACTTTGACCCTTTGATAGTGATTCTGCATCATCTTTGAAACTTGAAACAGGGTACTTTCTAAATCTGGAGCAAAACAGAAATATGAATTACTATGGGACACTAAAGAGGTAGGAAGTTTAGTTATTTCTGAATGTTACGTATCCCTACTCCTTCCTGATTGTCATTTTATCGTCTAACAATTCTATATTTTCATTTATTGTGTTGTTTTGTAATATCAGAGTTTCAGTGTTTGCCTTGCAGGTGCTATGTAATAATGATAGGTTGAATGTTGTTATTTCTTTCCTTCCAGCAAATACCATTCATTTTGAAGTTTGGTAATATCAAAGATGAAATGCCCGTTTTGCTGATGTTGCATGATATTGATAGGTTGGGATCTGTTATTCTTTTTCTATCCGCAAGCACCTCTATATTTTGCCATCACTTCATCAGATGAATGAAACCTTTACTATCTACAGCCTTTCTCCCTTTGTGTGCGAGTCTCTGCAACTCACTATAAATTTATGGTCAATACTTGATCTATATACAAGAACTACTTAAGTAAATTTTGTTATTTAAACAGTTCACAAAAGATAATTCAGTGTCTTACTTGTTGATTTTTCCTTCTGGTTCATTTGGATCCATAAGTATGGAATGAAAATAGATATACCTCTATTTGACAAAGGCAGTTCTGGAACTACACTAGGTATGTTATTGTTGTTGTTGACAGTGATGAACGAGTTGAAGAATGAACATATTGGTGGAGCTTTTTCTAAAAATAATAGATGTAAGCTTTCCCCCAAACAATTTCACGGCAGTTACTCTTTGTTCTTCCTTTGTTGTTAGATTTATGTGTTATTTGTCGAATTACATAAAATTTACTTCATTGTACACATTTTTTTGGATCAGGTGCTTGTACTTTGTTCATTAGAAATTACAGGTATGACCACATCTGGCACTAAAAATGGTTTTGCCTCTCAAGTGTGATTGCACTTCTATTTATATGTAAGTGTTTTCTCATTTGTTATCTAGAAATTTGATTTGTACAGATAAATTATTAGTATAACTACTCTATGATTAATTTGGTTGCTACTTATGATAGTAATATTTACATGTATGGCTAAATTCATCAAATTTGATATCTAGACAAAGTGGTGGATAAAGCATAAGCTTGATGGGTTCAATTGTATCGAT